AGGCGTTTAGATGGTAGTTAGGTATTTGGATTTTGTATTTGAGAACTTGGATTATGTTTTATTCATTTTTGTGTTCCCAGTATATAGTATAGGGCTTGTCATATAATAATGAATGTTGTTGAATGAATGGAATGACCCACATTAAACTGGGTTGTAATTTAGTTTGACTATTTCCTTCATATAGAAAGAGCCGTAATTACAAAAATCCACTTATCCCTCAGGTTACACAAAAATTTTTAACTGATGCTTTCTTTAATTTCGCTTTTTGTTCACCTGCGGGGGAACTCAAAAACCTGAAAGATATTTAAAATATCAAGGACTTCCTAAAACCTAGGTACTAGGACTAAAGTTGATTTAATTAGTTTTGCGTCTGCCATTATTTATTTCATAATCATTAATTAGACTTAAATTTTTACATGCGTATTTTAGTATTTGTTAAGAGAAACTGGAAAATCTAAGATTTGTTTCAAAATATTTTCAGACATCATGTTCAATAATGCAACCTGAGCAGCAGTAATACTTTGTGAGTTTATTTACTGTTCCTGTGATTAATTCCTTGGTCAGGTTTTTGAAGGGATTTGCACATCTGTCATAAATTCATTTTAAAGCTTTTAGTTTTTATTTGTAAAATGCCAAATGTGCCTGACAAATAATAGTTAATCAGTGAATAAGGACATAAGAATCAACATCTCTTAGGGTTTTTTAAGCATAAATATTAGCAAAAAAATCTACATTTTTCTCATTCAGGGGTTGGCAAATTAAGCTTTGCAAAGGAAACTGCTGAGATATACATTTTTAGATTTTTGGCTTTAGTGTTCCAAATAAATGATTTTTGTGGTTAAGCTTTGCTCCCAACATTTTGTTTTTAATATTTTGACTTATACTTATGGAAATTACTTATGTTTTAGTCACATGTTCACCAAGAACCAAGTAAGAGAATTCCTTCTTGGAGTGGTCGCCCAATCTGGATGGAAAAGATGGTAATGTGCAGAGTAAAAGTTCCACACACATTTGCTGTTCACTCTTACACCCGTCCCACAATATGTCAGTACTGCAAGCGGTTACTGAAAGGCCTCTTTCGGCAAGGAATGCAGTGTAAAGGTAGGATTATAAGTTTTCCTTAAGTAAAAT